CATTTTAATAATGTATTATGGCAAAAATGTTAAATATGAGTTAACAATTTGGATATGAGGACAGAAGGGGATGAAGAGCAGTAAAATGAAAGAGGGAGAAGACCCTACAAAATTAGTCGAGGTGAGGTCGGAGGACCAAGATTGGGGTGATCCCCTACACTGGGCCTCAGTCCCCATCTCCTAAGCCCCCCACAAGAAGAAACAAAGGATGGGGAGGGTTTTGGTGACTGAATCTTTTGTGCTGTTTTTGTTATGTTTAAATCATCTCTTTTATCTTTTTTCTGGTATGTTTGCTTTGTCTTTTTGTTTTTTTTGTGTTCATTTTGGTTTTCAGGTTTCATTGGGGTTCTTTGTCCTAAATGTTAAAGTTTGAGATTGGCTCAATATCTAGGCATATGATTGTGTTGTGGGTTCTGTTGTTTGTAATTTTGTGTTATTCTTTGCTTGTTGGATGTTTGTGTGACATGTTTTGGTTGGTTGTTGGGTTTGGTGCAAGAAGAAGCTTTAAGTCTTAAAATTTGTTATTTAATATCCAAATCTTTGAGTGTTATATGCTTTGTCTTTATATTTTGGGCCTCACTGTGTATATTGCATGAATTTGCATTGAGTGGATGATCACCATGACAGTAATAGTAATAATCTTTGTTGGGGCAATCTTTGTAGTTATGACTAAATTGACTACATTTACTGTATCTTTTCCTATTTTTAAGTCATGACCCCATGCCCTAACCTGAAACACTTTGGGAATAGAGAAAGTATACTCTTTTTTTTTTAGTAAGATGTGTGACTTATTGCTACTTTTCCGGTATTCATGAAGATTTTGTTACTGAGAGTGATGCACAGAGACAGAGGGAAATGGACACTGCCATCTTATAGAGCATAAAAAATAGAGGTATAGTTTTAGTTTCCCGCAGCCATGAAGTACAAGGTAAAATTTACCTTTAATGGACATAATGGCTGAATACAAGACACTTCATCTATGGTATTCCCTTAGCAAGTTGATAATTTAAAAAATGTAATACTTTGGTATACATTTACAGGAAAATGTAATGGCACTATAAAAATCAAAGAGAAAATACACTCACAAATACATGAAATAATCTGCATTGGCAAAAAAATGTTAAAAATTAAGAAAATAGGTCACAACACATGCCATGCAGGCTGTAACTCCACAATTGGGTGGGGGTCCTTTGGCAGAGCCGTAAATAGGGGAACATGATGATCAGATGGGTGTCTAGGGGTGAAGCCCTTGGGTTAAGCTATGGTTTCCTAGAAAAGCGGTGCCGCTATATTACGTCCGTAACATTACGTTGGATGACGTCGCAAAAACTGTTACATTATTTTCCCCGGCATTGGTTTCCTAGAGACCGGTGAACGTAAGATAGCGGTGGCGCCAGTGTTGTGACGGCCGTCATAGCGGTAGCATACTCTCCGCCGACGGTTTATTACGTTGACGGTGTGACATTACGGTATTGAAATTGGAATCTGTTTCAGACATAACAATGTGGAACGGCGAGGAAGATGAAATATTAATAGATTTTGTGAGAAATAATGAAGCCCTGTACAATGTTAAAAGTAAAGAGTACAGAAAAACTCAAATGAAACAGAATCTTTGGTCTGATGTCGGGAATATTCTTCAAAAATCAGGTGGGTACATAAATTAAAACAAAGTAAAAGCTTTTTTATTGTATTGCATTTATACAAAGGATAGTGGTAGGAAGACTCAATATTTTTTTTTTTTTATAAATGGGGTTTGTCACATATTTCCATGACTAACTTACACCTACTTCGTGTATTTTACACAAATACACAGACATGTACAATAGTGGTCGAGAAAATTAATATGGCTTTATAACTACTTGACATAAATGGTATTTATTACTTTTAAATTTGTAATGATTAATCTATACTTCATGTAAACACGTGTCGCGGGTAATATCACCATATCTTGCTTATATTAATGTTGTGCTGCATAATTATAGGAACAAGAAGTGCATCATCAACATGTTTTTGACATGGAGCAAGTATTCGTGCTTCCCTTAAAATATTATGTAATATACAGGCACATAGGATCAATTTGTCTGTAGTTTCAGGAACAGTTGCAAAAGGTTGAAAGAAAATTCTGAAATACCCACATAATATACCAAACGCATTTTCAGTTGTTCTACGAGCTCGAGAGAGACGATAGTTATATATCGCTTTCGATTGATCGTGAAGAGATTGTTGTCTTGGGTAGGGTTTCATCAGATTTTCGTGAAGAGCAAAAGCCTCATCACCAACAATCACGTGTGGTACAACAATATCTGTCCCTGGTAGTGGTTTTGGAGCTGGTATATTGAATGTATTTTCTTTAATCTTCTGACCTATTTTGCTTTTTAGGTATATACCAGCGTCTCCTTCTCTTCCATAAGAACCAACATCAAAAGCACTGAATTTACAATCAGCATCCACAACTGCTAACAAGACTATTGAGTAATATTCTTTATAATTATAATATAAAGATCCACTATTTGAGGGAGCCTTTATTCTGACGTGTTTCCCATCTATTGCTCCTATGCAGTTTGGAAAATTGCATTTAGAAGCATATTTTGTTTCATTATTGGCTAGTTGCTCACTGGTGGGCGAGGGTATGATTAAAACTAACATTTCTGTGACAATGGCCTCAGCAACTTCTCTCACAATGACACTTATCCATGAATGGCTTATCCGATACTGGAAAGCAAGTGATCTGAAAGACTCTCCCGTAGCAAGATACTTGAAATAGAAATGAAGTGATTAGAAGTATCGTTGTGGATGTATTTACTAATTACTAATATTTATGGAGGTTATTATTAAGCATCAAAACATATGGCATATTTGTTTACTTCATCTAAAGTTCAACAAATGTAAACAAACCACCATTTATGTGATTGTTTACCCCTTTCGATGTGGTAATTATTTTTGTCGTATTCTTCGATTTGGACACTTGTTCCCTTCCTATTGATTTTTTTAAAAACCTCCTGGTAGTACTCAATTGTACAGTCAGTATCGAAAGGGTTAATTAATGTTTATAGTTTATTTATCAATGTTAACAAATTATTACATTATATTTTTGCATATCTTTAATGAATGGTATTTCTTCAGGTAACGACTGCTCTAAACGATGGATCTACATTAGAGACTACTATATTCGACGCAAAGGAAACCCTTGTACTGGCTCAGCTGGAGAAGCAATAAAGAAGAGGTCTGATCTTCTGTCATTCTTGGACAGCATACCTTCAGCAAAAAGGCACTCCACGACCAACGTTGTTGGAAGGGAACTGAACGAGTGTGAAACCCCAGAGGATACACTGCCTCATGTCGAACAAAACCTAAACAGCATGTCAGACAGCACCACAACAGACAGTGAAGTACATGCCAGTCAAGTACATGCCACTGAAGAACATGCCACTCAAGCACATGCCACTCAAGCACATGCCACTCAAGTACATGCCACCCAAGAACATGCCACTCAAGGATATGGTAGGAACAAACGTGACCTCAATAGTACATTCGAATGTACTAAAGAAAATGAGAAAGAGAAGAAAACATCACGAGTTGAAGAACGATTAAACCTGCTAAAAGAAATAGCTAAACGTAACGACAATCGCTCTGACAAAGAATTAGATGAAACAGACCTATTCTTCAGCTCCATGGCAAAAATAGTAAAGAAGCTTCCTCTGCATGAACAAATTAAGTTGAGGATGGAAATATCATCTTTAGTTGGCAATGCTGAATTACGAAACATTACATATTTGTCTTCTGGAAGCAGCGACTCTTCAAGACCAGGTTCAGCACAATCTACATTGTGAGCATGTCTTCAACACATCTGAACAGACTGTTTCAAACGTGACAAATTCAAAAGGAAACATTCCACTGTTTAATGTACCAACAGGTATTGCTTCAGAAACAGTAATTCCATCTGCATCAAGCGAACATGGTACGGTGGTGGTCGCTGATGTAGAGTGTGATTATTATACCCAACTCTAGTATAACTTTTAGCAAGACTCTAGTATTACACTGCCAAACACTAGTATAACTTTCAGTAGTATAACTTTCAGCTTATAGTACCTATACTTTATACCAAATTCTAGTTTAACTTTCAGCTTGAAATAAAGTTTAGCATTGATACATTTTTTTATTTACTTACCTCAAAAATAGACACGGCTTTTCTTCTGAAGATATTGGATTTCTGTGTCGATTATAGGGTCTGGAAGTGAATTGATCTCTTATATGATTCAAAACATAATCAAACAAAACTGGTGTTAAGCGGAAGTATTCTCTAAATTTTTCTTCATTGCAATGGAGACGACGAACAACCAGAATTGAAAATGCACCCTCTGTAGATCGACATTTGAATAATTGACTTTCTTCCAAGCGTTCGTCTTCGGACGACTCATCTTCCAGATATATTAATAATGCCGTGTCTAGATCGTCCATACTGCGTGTGTTCTCTTTCCGCTTGATCTCAACGTAATGCAATCACTAACACAGTTCTAACTTTACACCCTTGAGCGGCCGTTACGTTACGTTCGCCGCACAACGTAATGTTACGGACGTAATATAGCGGCACCGCTTTTCTAGGAAACCATAGCTTTACTTGTGGTTGGTCCTTGTAATAGGAACAAATGTTTTGGTTTATGAATAAAGAATGGAGTTTTGTGATTCAAATACGCTTTATCCAAATTTATTTCCCATTTTGAATGCCATATATAGTGCATACGGCATTATGTAAACAAATATTTCCTGTATACATTTACAGGAAAATGTAATGGCACTATAAAAATCAAAGAGAAAATACACTCACAAATACATGAAATAATCTGCATTGGCAAAAAAATGTTAAAAATTAAGAAAATAGGTCACAACACATGCCATGCAGGCTGTAACTCCACAATTGGGTGGGGGTCCTTTGGCAGAGCCGTAAATAGGGGAACATGATGATCAGATGGGTGTCTAGGGGTGAAGCCCTTGGGTTAAGCTATGGTTTCCTAGAAAAGCGGTGCCGCTATATTACGTCCGTAACATTACGTTGGATGACGTCGCAAAAACTGTTACATTATTTTCCCCGGCATTGGTTTCCTAGAGAGCGGTGAACGTAAGATAGCGGTGGCGCCAGTGTTGTGACGGCCGTCATAGCGGTAGCATACTCTCCGCCGACGGTTTATTACGTTGACGGTGCGACATTACGGTATTGAAATTGGAATCTGTTTCAGACATAACAATGTGGAACGGCGAGGAAGATGAAATATTAATAGATTTTGTGAGAAATAATGAAGCCCTGTACAATGTTAAAAGTAAAGAGTACAGAAAAACTCAAATGAAACAGAATCTTTGGTCTGATGTCGGGAATATTCTTCAAAAATCAGGTGGGTGCATAAATTAAAACAAAGTAAAAGCTTTTTTATTGTATTGCATTTATACAAAGGATAGTGGTAGGAAGACTCAATATTTTTTTTTTTTTTTTTATAAATGGGGTTTGTCACATATTTTCATGACTAACTTACACCTACTTCGTGTATTTTACACAAATACACAGACATGTACAATAGTGGTCGAGAAAATTAATATGGCTTTATAACTACTTGACATAAATGGTATTTATTACTTTTAAATTTGTAATGATTAATATATAATTCATGTAAACACGTGTCGCGGGTAATATCACCATATCTTGCTTATATTAATGTTGTGCTGCATAATTATAGGAACAAGAAGTGCATCATCAACATGTTTTTGACATGGAGCAAGTATTCGTGCTTCCCTTAAAATATTATGTAATATACAGGCACATAGGATCAATTTGTCTGTAGTTTCAGGAACAGTTGCAAAAGGTTGAAAGAAAATTCTGAAATATCCACATAATATACCAAACGCATTTTCAGTTGTTCTACGAGCTCGAGAGAGACGATAGTTATATATCGCTTTCGATTGATCGTGAAGAGATTGTTGTCTTGGGTAGGGTTTCATCAGATTTTCGTGAAGAGCAAAAGCCTCATCACCAACAATCACGTGTGGTACAACAATATCTGTCCCTGGTAGTGGTTTTGGAGCTGGTATATTGAATGTATTTTCTTTAATCTTCTGACCTATTTTGCTTTTTAGGTATATACCAGCGTCTCCTTCTCTTCCATAAGAACCAACATCAAAAGCACTGAATTTACAATCAGCATCCACAACTGCTAACAAGACTATTGAGTAATATTCTTTATAATTATAATATAAAGATCCACTATTTGAGGGAGCTTTTATTCTGACGTGTTTCCCATCTATTGCTCCTATGCAGTTTGGAAAATTGCATTTAGAAGCATATTTTGTTTCATTATTGGCTAGTTGCTCACTGGTGGGCGAGGGTATGATTAAAAGCTAACATTTCTGTGACAATGGCCTCAGCAACTTCTCTCACAATGACACTTATCCATGAATGGCTTATCCGATACTGGAAAGCAAGTGATCTGAAAGACTCTCCCGTAGCAAGATACCTGAAATAGAAATGAAGTGATTAGAAGTATCGTTGTGGATGTATTTACTAATTACTAATATTTATGGAGGTTATTATTAAGCATCAAAACATATGGCATATTTGTTTACTTCATCTAAAGTTCAACAAATGTAAACAAACCACCATTTATGTGATTGTTTACCCCTTTCGATGTGGTAATTATTTTTGTCGTATTCTTCGATTTGGACACTTGTTCCCTTCCTATTGATTTTTTTAAAAACCTCCTGGTAGTACTCAATTGTACAGTCAGTATCGAAAGGGTTAATTAATGTTTATAGTTTATTTATCAATGTTAACAAATTATTACATTATATTTTTGCATATCTTTAATGAATGGTATTTCTTCAGGTAACGACTGCTCTAAACGATGGATCTACATTAGAGACTACTATATTCGACGCAAAGGAAACCCTTGTACTGGCTCAGCTGGAGAAGCAATAAAGAAGAGGTCTGATCTTCTGTCATTCTTGGACAGCATACCTTCAGCAAAAAGGCACTCCACGACCAACGTTGTTGGAAGGGAACTGAACGAGTGTGAAACCCCAGAGGATACACTGCCTCATGTCGAACAAAACCTAAACAGCATGACAGACAGCACCACAACAGACAGTGAAGTACATGCCAGTCAAGTACATGCCACTGAAGAACATGCCACTCAAGCACATGCCACTCAAGCACATGCCACTCAAGCACATGCCACTCAAGTACATGCCACCCAAGAACATGCCACTCAAGGATATGGTAGGAACAAACGTGACCTCAATAGTACATTCGAATGTACTAAAGAAAATGAGAAAAAGAAGAAAACATCACGAGTTGAAGAACGATTAAACCTGCTAAAAGAAATAGCTAAACGTAACGACAATCGCTCTGACAAAGAATTAGATGAAACAGACCTATTCTTCAGCTCCATGGCAAAAATAGTAAAGAAGCTTCCTCTGCATGAACAAATTAAGTTGAGGATGGAAATATCATCTTTAGTTGGCAATGCTGAATTACGAAACATTACATATTTGTCTTCTGGAAGCAGCGACTCTTCAAGACCAGGTTCAGCACAATCTACATTGTGAGCATGTCTTCAATACATCTGAACAGACTGTTTCAAACGTGACAAATTCAAAAGGAAACATTCCACTGTTTAATGTACCAACAGGTATTGCTTCAGAAACAGTAATTCCATCTGCATCAAGCGAACATGGTACGGTGGTGGTCGCTGATGTAGAGTGTGATTATTATACCCAACTCTAGTATAACTTTTAGCAAGACTCTAGTATTACTTTCAGTAATAAAACTTTAAGCCAAACACTAGTATAACTTTCAGTAGTATAACTTTCAGCTTATAGTACCTATACTTTATACCAAATTCTAGTTTAACTTTCAGCTTGAAATAAAGTTTAGCATTGATACAATTTTTTATTTACTTACCTCAAAAATAGACACGGCTTTTCTTCTGAAGATATTGGATTTCTGTGTCGATTATAGGGTCTGGAAGTCAATTGATCTCTTATATGATTCAAAACATAATCAAACAAAACTGGTGTTAAGCGGAAGTATTCTCTAAATTTTTCTTCATTGCAATGGAGACGACGAACAACCAGAATTGAAAATGCACCCTCTGTAGATCGACATTTGAATAATTGACTTTCTTCCAAGCGTTCGTCTTCGGACGACTCATCTTCCAGATATATTAATAATGCCGTGTCTAGATCGTCCATACTGCGTGTGTTCTCTTTCCGCTTGATCTCAACGTAATGCAATCACTAACACAGTTCTAACTTTACACCCTTGAGCGGCCGTTACGTTACGTTCGCCGCACAACGTAATGTTACGGACGTAATATAGCGGCACCGCTTTTCTAGGAAACCATAGCTTTACTTGTGGTTGGTCCTTGTAATAGGAACAAATGTTTTGGTTTATGAATAAAGAATGGGGTTTTGTGATTCAAATACGCTTTATCCAAATTTATTTCCCATTTTGAATGCCATATATAGTGCATACGGCATTATGTAAACAAATATGGACGCAAGCACATGCACGCGCGCGCGCGCACTCACACACACACACACACACACACATACATACATTGTATGTATATATATATATATATATATATATATATATATATATATATATACACACACACACATGCATTTATACATATGTATATATACACATATATTCACATATATGTATAAGTATATATACATACATACACTCACATCTCCCCCTAAATAACACCATTATATATATATATATTTTTTTTTTTTTTTGGGGGGGGGGGGGGCGCAAGAAATGGGTGTGTGTGTGCGTGCGCGCGTGTGTGTGTGTGTGCGTGCGCGCGTGTGTGTGTGTGTGTGTGTGTGTGCGTGCGTGCGCGCGCGCGTGTGTGCGTACGTGACAGCCCTATTCATAGTCACTGCCATCGCCATTCCCAGCATTGTGCTTGGTTAGGGCCGACATTTTAAGCCATTCACAGGCGCAAATATGTAGAGTATTGAGGTTGGTAGCCCTCACAACAAGAGGGAATGAAAAAAAACATATATTTATATTTTACGCAAATTTTTGTACAGTAGCTAGGTCGTGCTCAAAAGTTCGGAATCTCAGGTAGTGATTCGAGATTTCAGGAGACAGTTGAAAGGAAAGTAAAAATAAGAAAATAAACATCAAACGGGTATTTTGCAACCTTTTTTAAAGTGTAAAGTACGTACACAGGGCAATTTAATTAACACAACTCTCAAAATAGGTGGAAACCCTAAGATATGAACTAGAGAGAAGACCCCCATCCCTGTCAGCCCTGGAAAAACGAAACCCGGCATGACTCACTCAACCATTAAAAAAAGAAAAAAAAAAGAAAAACATTAATTTGATTTATTAATCTGAAACCTCAAATTTTAACAAACCAATAAGATTAATAAGTATTTGTTACTCTCCAGGGCATCATGCGAGTGAAAATGCAAATCAAACCTTTCCTACCTTCTGTTTATTCTTTACACAGAGGGACCAAATTCCCTTGTACCTCTCAAATAACACTTCATGACAACTTTTAGAAAATGAAAACGCGAGATTAAGAATATATATATATATATATATATATATATATATATATATATATATATATATATGTGTAGTGATATAAGTGTGTGTGTGTGTGTGTGTGTGTGTGTGTGTGTGTGTGTGTGTGTGTGTGTGTGTGTGTGTGTAACTATGAGGTCGCTGCAATTGTGCATGTGTAGTATATTGTTCCATTTTGGTAATTTTTTAGTTTCACACAGCTATCCAATCTTCCATTTTTTTATTATTTCTTTCAGTTATCCATGCTGTAATGTGCATGAATCTTGTTATTTTCCATTGCAAAGGATATAAATAAAAGCATTGGTAATGTATATAACTGACCTTATACCTCTCAGATTAAATCCACAGACACCGCTGTATGAACCAAAATCCTCCGAAACATTTTCTGAGTTTAAGAAAACGGCATGTCGGTCACGTGATCAGACAGCTTGCCACCTCCCCCCCCCTCCATCCCACTTCCTCGCTTCTGTCTCTTCCTCATTCTCTCTCTCCTCTCTCTTTTTCTCTCCTTTCTCTCTCTCTCTCTCTCTCTCTCTCACTCTCCTCTCTCTCTCTCTCTCTCTTCTCTCTCTCTCTCTCTCTCTCTCTCTCTCTCTCTCTCTCTCTCTCTCTCTTTCTCCTCTCCCTCCCTCTCTCTTTCTCTCTCTCTCTCTCTCTCTCTCTCTCTCTCTCTCTCTCTTTCGCTCCCTCTTTCTCTCTCTCTCTCTCCTCTTTCTCTCTCTCTCTCTCTCTCTCTCTCTCTCTCTCTCTCTCTCTCTCTCTCTCTCTCTCTCTCTCTCTCTCTCTCTCTCTCTCTCTCTCTCTCTCTCTCTCTCTCCCTCTCTCTTTCTCCCTCCCTCTCTCTTTCTCTCTCTCTCTCTCTCTCTCTCTCTCTCTCTCTCTCTCTCTCTCTCTCTCTCTCTCTCTCTCTCTCTCTCTCTCGCTCTCTGTAGGATAAGCGCATAAAAATAGAAACATGCATTGGTGGGTAGAACGCCAACAAATAAACAAACAAACAAACTACGATTTGCTTCAGTACCATGCAGTGTTTCAGCGTGTATTTAAATGAAATAAATGTTGCTATTAATATTTGAAAAATGATGATGGTCGAAATAAGAATAAGATAAATACCATTATCGTAACAGTGATAATATTTCTGTGATTATATTGATGCCAATGATAAGGTTAACAGTAATATTGTTATCAGCAAATTAGCAAGTCTAATAAACAACACAACGTTAATAAAAAGGAAGAAAAAGAAGAAAAAAAACACAATAACATCCCAGACATAAGAAAAGGTTAAAGAAATTTCCGAGTGATTTGTGGCATCTTTTCGAAATTCACATGTTGTCTACCTCGCTTTTAAAAATATTCTCGTGCCAAGAAGCTTCGTTCAAATCGGCGTCTGTTTTTTTGTTTTTTGTTTTTTTGTCTTTTCTTTTCTTTTTCTTTCTTTTTTTTCTCTTTTTTTTAAGTCCGTTTGTTACTTTTAGGTCTTAGTCGTCGTCTCCCTCCTTCCCTTTTCCTCTCTTTTCTATGGTCTTTTCATCTCCCCCTTCTCTTTTCTTTCTCTTTTCCATGGTCTTTTCATCTCCCCCTTTCCTTTTCCTTCTCTTCTTTATCTTTATCTTCTATCCACTTATCCTAATCGTTGATTCAATATTACCCCCTTTTTGCCGCAATACTTTATAATGCTCATATTACCTATGATGTCCGGCACATTTTTTTTTTCTTTTTTTTTACCATTAACCATACTGGAAATCCACAAACATCGCCTTGTGAACCAAAAAACTTCCTTACCCGGGGATTTCGACCCCAAGCCCCGCCCTAATGCCGCTTGTGACCTTCAATGTTGACGCGGCAGAGAATAGATACTTTTTAGGGAGGGAGAGAGGGAGGGGAGGGGAAGGGGAAGAGGGAGAGGGGGATGAGGAAGGTAAGGGAGGGAAGGAAGAGGGGGATGGGGAGGGGAAGGGAGGGAGGGATAGGGAGGGGAAGAGATGAAGGGAAATCGAGAGAGGAAGAGAGATGGACGGAAGATGGTGTGTGTTTGTTTGTGTGTGTGCGCCACGGATAATAAAATCTCTTGGATCATAAGCTGTTTCACTGTTCGTTTATTATTTTTGTTTTTTCTTCGTTTTTCTGCATTAAGCTTAAGCAGGGCAGGTGTTCGTCGCAGCTACATATCTTTTCCTCATTTCTTTTTTTCTTTTCTTTATCTAATGGACTTGGACATCCAGATAGGCCTACTTCGGGAAATATCTGTCATGCTTCCATCCATTATTAGTTAGTTTTTTTTTTGTTTGTTTGTTTGTTTTGTTTTTTTATTTCGTGGTATTTTACCTTGTTTAGTTTCTCTGTCGATAAAAGGGGCACGACTCTTGGACATTTAAACCCTCTCAATAGTCTTTTTCTGATAATATATCCATAGATACCAGGATAAAACCGAGCCTGAGATATCCGGAATTTGCACTAAACACGTGATTTTAATTCTAGGTGAAACTGTTAAGGTTTTCTACATATAATCTAGATATTTTATATAATGTTTCCTCTAAGTATGCGTTCGTAAGTCCAGAAGCCACAGTAAGACGTTGTATAACCTTCAGTGTATCGACAGTCTCTTCTGATATTTATTTAACTGATTTATATTAATCATTCTTGCATTTGTTTTCGCCCTCTTGATAAAACCATGAAAATTCGAGTGGCGTTTTTTCCTCTCTGTTCCTCTTCCTTCCTGCGTGCCCGATACTCACTCTCTCTCTCTCTCTCTCTCTCTCTCTCTCTCTCTCTCTCTCTCCCTCCCTCCTTCCCTTTCTCCCTTTCCCTCACCCATGTTCTTCTTTTCTACCCGTCCCCCTCTCTCTCTCTCTTTCACTTTCTTTCCCTCTCCTTCTCACCTTTTCACCTCCTCTCCTTGTCCTCACTTTCCCTCCATCAATCTCTCCCTCTCCCTCCCTCTCTCTCTCTCTCTCTCTCTCTCTCTCTCTCTCTCTCTCTCTCTCTCTCTCTCTCTCTCTCTCTCTCTCTCTCTCTCTCTCTCTCTCTCTCTCTCTTTCATCCTCTCCTTCCCTCCTCTCCTTCCCCTTTATACATTATCACGGTGCCACATGACCCACCGTTAGCCTTTTTTTAGGCGTCACGTACAGTTCCCTGCTGGCACTCTCGCTGCCTTTTCCCTGCAGGAGAAGAAGAAAAAAAAGACTACAATATATTTACTATACAGACAGTCACATACCGACCCACACCACATGCCTGCACACCCGCACGTACGGGGTCATAAGCAAGGGGAGATACACACACGCACGCACACACACACACACACACACACACATACACACACACACACACACACACACACACACACATACATACACATACACACACACATATATGTATGTATATATGCACATATGCACGCACACGCACACACACACACACACACACACACACACACACACACACACACACACACACACACACACACATGTATGCGTGTATATATGCACGTAAGTATTCATGTATGTATGTATAAAGATATTCATTCTCAATTATACCCTTTCTACATTTGTCAATATAAATACGTCGCATGTATGTACGTGTGCATGCATGTATATCTACGTATACACGAAAAATATCAAGATTGAAGTGATGTTAAGAATTTAGATCCACGGCGACTCTCTC